AAGCCCGAGTGCGCCAGCCCAGATAGTCACGGAGGTCTGGGGGTCGTTCGAAGAGGTGATGCCGTTGTTGATCAAGGGGTCAAGTCCGTGGCGGTACTTGGTTACCTTAACCAACGCGTCTTGAAGCCAGCGAGGTCCATCAAGTCCTCGAAGTCGTCGGTATATCCGTAGACATCCCGCGTTCCCATGTGATAACCCCGCTTTCCAACTTAGCGAGCGCGAGGTCCTGTTCGTTCTCCTCGACGAACCGAAGGCGAAACTCGGAGAGGAACTGGCTCCACCGAGGGAAAGGGAAGGGTTTTTGCTCCCATGACGCTCTGCCCATTGCTGAGCAGGTCCCTCCGCCATATAGGACATGGCGTAGCGGACGGCCTTTTCTTCGCTCGGCTCTCCGTTAACTACGAAGGCCTCCCGGGGCAAGCCGAGCGTAGGTTTTGACCGCGTATAGGAAGGCGCGGCCGCGTTTGCGGTCTCCGTTAAACGCAAACGGGGGGTTTGGTCGTAAGACCAGTTTTGAGGCGACAGTAATGTCACCAAATAACGCATCCGCGTCGGGGGCATTCGGAGATGCCAGGCGGTTCGGGAGCTGCCGGAGGTGGTGCGGCAGCGGAAGCCTGGGAAGCAAGGTGGGTGAGGATATTGGTGAGGTTGTCTAGTTTCGCCTCAAGTGCGTCCATGCGCGTCAGCGTCCGGAGCAGCTCCGGTAGACATAGCGGGCGTAAAGACGACAAGAGCAGAGGAGGAGGGGTCAAGTGGCAGGGGCGGTGACGAGGGGGGTACGGACTCGTACTCGAGCCTGAGTCAGCACCAAACCTGGCAATCTTGACCGGTTAATCCCGTAGAGAGTTTCTTCTGCTGTAAGGGCAACCCTGGAGACTCCGACGAAAGCCTAGCTAGCAGGGGAGGATCCAAAGCGTGAATAAGACTACAGGAAATACACGGAGGGACCGACCTAGCAGGGGAGGATCCAAAGAGAAGAAACTCTAAGGGTCCGCCTGCTAGGGCGCCAACTATATACTGGTCGTCCGTAACTGCCGACGAGAGCGCAGAAGGCCTGAGCGGCGTCGCAGGCTCTGTCCCAAGGTGATCGTTGGGAGGGTCTTGACGGATCGGTGATTGTGCGGGCGAAGGAGGCCGTGGACGATGGTCGGGGTGGGTCGGAGCGTCCGAGGGGGCGCCGGTCGGATGCGCCTCGGATGCGTTCGGAGGGTCCGAAGGAGGCCGAAGCGGGGGTTCCCCTGACAACTATGGGAAACGTGATGATGTGGCGAAAAGGTGTGGGCGTGACATTGTGCGTTTCTGGTGTCGGGAAGATGGAAAGCGCCGACTGGTCTATCTTTCTTCTGGCTCTGTGTGTGCTGTTATCTGATGGTCCTACAGGTTGGCGGAGTCAACTTCTGTGCTTTCTCAGATGAAATACTCAAGATTCTTACTGAAAATCATCGCCTCGTTCAAGTACATGGGATTCGCAGGCGCGCGGCAATGGATAGATGGTCTCACATTGGATCCATGACGGGCTACGGTACACGGCAACCAAAAGGTGGGATCAAGGGCGACATTTATAATGCCTATGCATGCCATAGTGGTGCCACGCCAGAGGACCTGCTGGCTCTCATGCGACACGCCCTGGTCAGTTATCTAAACTCTGCATGAGTTTTTGCTGACAATACTCATAGACTTTGAATCTATTGGTGGAGGGTGCACGAACCATTTGGAGTGGTGCTGCCGCGCATTACCGAGAGCTGGTGGAGGATGCGGAGTTGGCCTATATGGGCAAGTATGGGTTAACCGGTTACCACTGCAGCAATTTTCTCAGCTGCATTCATCGGGACGATGATGTGGAAGGTGGGTGTCTACATCCATGCTTCCAATTGCTTAAGGAGAACTGCGGCAAACACAACTTCAACTTCGCTTATGTTGAATGGGGGGTAGCTGTGTATACAGTCACCAATGCTGCCTGGTATTTTTTAACGTCTTGACTTTTTTGTTACTTTCTGATAAAGTGATAGGCTCTTTGACGGACGTGACGCTCATGGGTCCATTATGCCTAGTGTTCAGGCCATGAATGCTGGTGCTCGTTCGGAGGGAGATCATGCCTCTGACAACCGCCGTAATCGAAACCGTGCTCAAACCTGCCGCGATGGACTTAATCACTATAATTTACGTAGTAGAGCTGCGTTGGCTGGTGCAGCATAATTTTCAACTAGTTCAATACAGGTTTCCATTCTTCTTTGAATAGTCTCTCCTCCATTATAAATGGCTGCTTTCCGCGTTTAGCCAGCACAGCTGATCGTCGAACGTTGGACACCCATACCATCTCGTCAAGGAAAAAATTATAACTGACAATATAAGTTAGTGTATTTGTGTATGAAAAAACTTTATACCGTGGTTCGGGCATCTCGCGCACTATAGACTGAAACGCGCCATACCACACATTGGTTTGTTCACAGACTGAAGAGTTGAAGGTCCAAGTGTCTTTGGTTCTGAGCTCGGAGAAGAGAATGGGGAGACAGTGATTGTTGCAAAACTCGTCATCATGACCGGAGGAGTGAAAGACATCCAGAACGAAGTTGACGTTGTCAAAGTGAGGATCGTTTTCAGTCATAATATGCTTCAAGAGATGGCAAGCATTATCGTAGAACAAGTGAGTTGGAAGCATCCATTTTTCAGGAAACATAGCCTTTAGGAATTGCTAATTCCTTATCAGTCACAGATAAGGAAATCTCCAGGATAGATAGACATACCCGTACTGAGTCCTGACCTTCCGACGTGAAAAATGTGGCTCTACCTGTGATGATACCACATGGTAGTACCAAGAGCTGGTCATTATGAGTATACTTCCTATGGGTCTCAAGCCTGCCCTGGGACTTGGGTCCATTAGATTTATGAGAGCGGAGACGTCTTGGTGTTCTGGGCACGTTACTCTTATCTAAGCGACGATTCAGATCGCGAAAGACCGACTCGCTGCTGGCGACCATCTTCTCTTCCATTTGCCGATGAGCCGGAAGTGAACAGGTAATAAAACCAGGCTCCGCAGGCATCTCACATATAGAGACTCGGCATTGAGTATCACAGCCTCGGTGGGTTGGGCAGAACTGGTCTTTGATTGACTCGAGTCGTGTTTGGCAGTTAAACTTGAGACAGCACGGATGGCCAATTGTAACGCCGTCAGTTACTGCTGCCCGTAACAAGCCTTAGAATTGAATCGTCAAATGCTGTTGAAACTTAGTCGCGGGTCACGTACGCTGACTGCCGTCCTGCCCCTTAATAATCTTGAGACAGTCGTGACAGGCATGGAGCCGCATTGGTTGCCCGTTGAGAACTATAGCCTTGTTATAGTGAATGAAGGCAAGCTCTAGACGTTGAGCATGAGTGCATTGATGACGGAGTACTAAGCTTTCGCCCGCTCGGTCTGCCCGTCGCAGCAGACTATGCATGAAGAAAGCATCCAGAACAGCTGACTGACTGATAGTAGAGAGGAGAGGAGAGTTGACTATATTGCTAGGGTTCCCAAGGGTGTCATTGTAGATTTCGGCCAAATCTGAAGTCGACGTGCTAAACGGGTTTAGCTGTGAAATGAAGCTGAAAGGCCTTACTGGGAAATTGCCAGTGCTCTCTCAAAATAAACGCAAAGATCACGGTCAACGAATGATGCCTCTTGAGCTTGAATGTACAATAGAGGCTCCCGGTAGTAGTAACGTTTGGCGTCAGCTTGTGCGGCGTCGCTTACATGATAAGCGTAGTGGTAACGTGTTTTGCATCCTAGTGACCCATGCTTGACTGTTTGTTGAGTATAAGGCCAAAGACTTACCAGCACAATAAAGAGATACTTCATAAGCAGCAAGAACTCCTCGGCGCAATGTAAAAATGCGACAGGGAGAACGTTGAGGTTGAGTGAGTCGATAACCCCGGCACCTTTCATTTAGTTGACCCACACAGTTACGGTGAGGTGGATAGAGCATTTCCGTTCCTGAAAGAAGGTGAATATAGAGAGCTGAACCGAAACAATACAAACCAAGCTCAAACGCCTCCCCATGTTGCTGCAAGAGGCCATCCACCTTCTCCTCCAACTTTGGACCCTGCCAGTTTTGGATATGAAGACGAGTTGTGAGCCACAGATGGTCAACAAGCTCTTCAGTGTTGAACAACAGGATCAAAAAGTCCTTGAGCTTGCTCCGAGAGAGAATGAGTGGAATCTCATCTTGATAGACAACATGGGTCCAGAGACGGGAGAGAAGACTGACAAAGAGAGTCAGTGTATACAGCTCTTCTTGGTTGTTGACAAGCTGGCAGGCTAGAGCAGGGGTGGAGGACATGATAAAGGAGCGTGTCTGCATGCCGCTTAGTCAAATTGTCACATGGGCGTGCTGCTTTATTAGGCCTGCCTTGGCTGGACTGTCTAAACATACCAGGATGTATTACTCAGAACCTCATGAGAAGCCTTGGGGAAACAGCCTATGATGTCTGAACCTGAACAGCCTAGGTGCCTTGCTTGGAGCAGCCTCAGCTGCTCTTACAGCTCACCCTGGGCTGCCCTTCTAACTCATCTCATGGTAGGTTGAGCCAGCATCTATAGATGTATGGCTATGACATCTACAGTTGGGTTACCAAGTCATCTAGGCCAGTTTAGCCTGTAGGCAGCTACAGTAGTGCTGGTAAGAGACATAAGTTGGATTGTGTAGGCAACTACAGGTGGAAAACTATGACAACCAGAGCTGCCTTGGCAAAGCAGCACTCTCCATGGAGAGCTCTCCATGGAGAGTTGATAGCAAGACTAGCTATCTGCAGTCAGTCCTCCTACTTAAGGACCTACTTACATGGCAGTTCTTCCTCACAGTCTGTCTTGACTGTCACACCTGATCGCCGTGCCAAACGACTCGCGGTTTTAAACCCATACTATTTCTTAGAGCTCATCTGTCGTTGAGCTTCGTCGTTGAGCCCCAAGCTCCTACTTGATTAGTTTCGAGCACCGAGTATTTAAAGTATGTCTATGTACAATGCTACCCTTGCGAAAACAAGCCATGAACCCTTTCCACCAACACATCGCCTCCCACACGACGAACGAAGTCCAGTCGTGAGATCCTAAGGTTTTCATGTATATTAAAGCAATCTGGGGGCAAAGAGACATGTTGTTTCGAAGCTTGTCGGTAGCGCATCACCTCCGCAACAGTGTCATGCGACCCCTGCTCAATGACCGCCTTCAACAACTTCTCCGCCCGCTCGTCCTCGCCATTTTCCCGCAGATCAGGCCAAATATTGCACGCGACATGGTGGAGGGCAACTAGCCGCAAGAAGTCTTGAACCCCTCCATCTTTCAGCAGCGCGCGGAGATACCCGCCGAGCATTTGCGGGTCCGAATCTACTGGCCAAAGGTACTCCCCGAGGTCACCGGCGATGAGAGTCTCCGGCGTAACGCGAATGGTTCTGATCACATGCGCAAAGTCGTTCCAAAGATGGCGACGGTAGTCTGGTGCATACTTCATTGTCGTTGGCGGCAACAGCAAACGGGCAAAGGTCGGGTGGGAGAAGGAAATTGCATCGTAGAGTGCGATGAAGTCTGTGTAGTACTGGTAGAACGGGGTTGAAGACCCCAGGAAAGGTATGGCGGCTTGTTCGAGGTCGTCTGGGGAAGTTGGGAGGCCAGCGACAGCCGTATATCGGCTCAGCAGGTTGTCCATCAATTTGTTGACGAGCGGATCACGGAATACCTCCTCTGCCGAATCGTTATGCGGCTGGCCGTGTTCAAGCATGAACACTTTCATGCAGCCAAATACCGCCTCTTCGCGGGTCAAGACGAAGCTTGACAACGAATACCTGGATGATATTTCTCGACAGATATTCGTCAGCAGCAATGCGGCACGCGTAACATCAACTTCGGAGCCATCCCAGGACGGTGGAAGATTTTGGAAGGCAGGAGAGACACCTGAACGAAGTAGATGATCCAAAGGAGCCAGCGACCAGTCTCTTCGCAAAGGCACGCCATACTCTCGCGAGAAAGCTGATGAATGTGTGGGGAGCCGCTGTGTCGTGGAGTATTTTATGGAATTGGGAGATGTCGTTGAAGGGCCCACAAAGACATCCAGAGTGGGACGGATAACGTGCGGAAGAAAGGGCTTGAGAATTTTGAGACCCCTCTTATTCCAGAACTCCAAGGTCATGTCGAAGCCACGAGCATTGGTCCATTCGACCGTAAACAAGTCAATCAACTCATTCGTCACCTCGACTGCAAAATCTTCATCTCCAGGAAGCAAGCGGGCGATGACAGCAAGCGCCTGGGCCATCCACACGTCTTGAGAGATATTGGGAAGGTGTCTGGAAAGACGGAGGTACCTGGCGAGGAGCGAGCTGAGCGGTCGATAGACAGCGTATCCCGCACCAGAACCTGGTAGAGCAGACCAGACCGGATGTGCTACCAGCTTTCTGCATATTTCAGAAAGTTGCTCGAAGGGTAGCCGAAATGGCGGTGAAGAAATCGGGTTTGTTGACGACGTTGGTAAACATGCAAGCCACAGACGAATAGCGGCCGCTAACGTCTCTGCGACACGCCCCATTCTGGCCATCTTCTCAGGGTCGGATCCTTCAATCAGAGAAAGCTCAGAAGTTAAATTTGATAGCGCGGCTTGGACGGTCTTGTGTTCCAAGCCTCCTTCCGTCTCAAAGCCAGCCTTCACCGACGCCAAACATTCGGCCCGTTCTTCCTCTCCGGCTCGAACGCCGTTAATCCTTGCCCCCTCGAGCCACGTCGCAGTTGCACGCCATACAGCAGCCATATCATCGCTGTCGTCCAGCTTAGGCATTATAGCGAGTAAATCTTGACCCCAGCCACAAGCGACAACCTGGCTCCAAAGAATATCATGCTCTGGAGTGGTATGATGTGGATCGGTGGCACAAACAATCCACGCCTCTAATAATTCAGCCCACGGAGCTGCAAGACTATGATTGTCGTGGATATACCGAGCAAGATCGGTAAGAGGAAGGTGTGCGGTACTGGCGATGTTCGAGTAGAGACCATATGACGCAAGGGTTTTGTAAAAAGCCAGCGTTGAGGTGACGAGATGTGGGTTTGGCGGCGGTAAAATCGCGATGAAACGGAGGAGAGCGTCAGCAGGCTCGCAGAGTGTTCTGGCATTGGCACGTGACGAGGAGGCAAGTGTCGTTAGCAGTTGCAAGGCCTCGTTAGCGTGCTCTGTAGAAGTATGCGAGCTGGAAAGAAGGAAGGCTCGGAATAGGTTTGAGATCAGCGACGGTGTCGAGACGATTTCGGTTGCAGTATCGTTGTTTGTGTTCGCTAATTGTCTAAGAATAGCAAGTAGATGACCTAAAGAAGTGGGATCCTCCGACGTTTCTAGGGCTGTGGCTGTCTGTTGAAGGAGATGCGAAAGAGGAAGAGAGGGAATGGTGATTCCTAGCTCTACTCCAGCAATAATCGGCACTGCATATGCGCTCAGGCACTTCCAGACAACTTCGACAGCATGAAGTCCCAGACTACCTCGTTCCGCCATCGCTTCAATACCTGCAGCCAAGACACGAGGTCTCAACTCTGCTTGGTCTTCATTTAAATTGGCCCAGTCGGCAATTCCACCTAACATTCGCATTGCAGCCGCGCGTTGAGCCTTCACCTCTGATCTTGACATTAAAAAGATATCATCCAGTGTGTATCCGGCCAGTTGAACGCCAGTTTCGTCCGGGGCATGATGATGAAGACCAAGATGAGTTGGAAGGGAGTCGTGAAGTGATGGAGGGAGAACATTTCCGGAGAGGTCAAATCGCAATGAAGTGGAAGCTGGACCAGAGGAGCCTGGTCGAGCAGATTCCTCCATCCAAGCGAGATTTGGGTTATTGGAAGGGGCAGAAGGGAAGAATCGACGTCTGATGTATTCCGGTGTACCTTCTTCAGGTTCTTCGTTCGCCAGGGTGGAAGCTGGTGATTTGCCCTTCCAGGTGCCTATGGAGACCGCGTCGTTGTCGTCGATTGAGGGAGGCGGTAATGCGAGAGCTTTCTTTCGCGGTGAAGGCGGGGCAGATTCATACACATGCACATCGCTCTCAGTGACTTCAGCGAATCTGATCTTTTTGGAGGCGCTGCTGGCAGGTCGCGACGGAGAGGCGAGCGCAGAAGGGAGTGGCTCTATGTCTACTTAAGACGATGTTGAATCACAACATACTACGCACCGATTCGTGGGGAAGACGGCCCAGCAACATTCCTCTCTCGTGCTTCACGCGCCTTCTTCAAGATGTCCCCAATGCCCGGGCCAAACCGCTGTAAAATCTCCTTCTTTTCCTGTTCTCGCTCGTCCTCCGTCATTGCGCTGACACGATACTCATTCTCTCGACTCATTTGCTCTCTCCAGTCCAGACTTCGACCGGCTTCAGCATGCTGCTGCATTGGCTGCGAAGGAACCACTGTTGGGAGATGATCCCGACGTTGGACATTTTGCTCTCTGGCCTTTGAAAACGCGCTTTTCTTTGACCGATGGGTGGCTTGAGGAAATCCGGCGCTCGATGGACCCGGTGCAAAAGGAGATGACGGTTTAGATGTGGCAGAACGTTCAAATACAGCGCCCACAAGCGAGGACATGGCTGTCGATGTCAAGCGAGATTACTCATGTGATGTCGCCAAATTTTAGCATCTGCCCAACATCTGCCACTCATCTCTCTGACTCGACTCTAGTCAATACTCGTCAATCGCTCAAGATATAACTAGTGCTTTTAGGACTTGGGATCCATATACTAAAATATGACCGACGCAACGCTTTTCCCCACTATCGGCGCTGTAGCTGAACAAACTGATTCACTTCAAGAGCCCCCCGATACCGGTAGCGCCGTTGATGGAGACGAAGACAAAGCAGTCGAGGAGATCGAGTCCTTGTGCATGAAATGCCATGAACAGGTGCGTTTATCCATCCGAACTACTTTCAAGCCTAAGAACCCCTACATAGTAGGGTGTAACCCGAATGCTGCTCACCTCCATCCCTTATTTCCGCGAGGTCATCGTAATGTCATTCCGATGCGAACACTGTGGCTGGACCAACAACGAGGTCCAAGCGGCAAGCACGATACGGCGTAAGGTGCACTCGGCCACATAAAATTATTCTTATAGTGTCTTTAGCTGAGGGAACTGTCTACACCGCCCGCATCCTAAATCGCAGCGACCTCGATCGACAAATCGTTAGATCCCCCACTTGCGAGGTTTATCTGGCTGAATACGAGTTGACTCTTCCTCCATCAAGCCGTGGTCAGCTCACGACCGTTGAAGGGTTGCTTCGCGATGTTGTGACAGACCTCAGCATGGACCAGCCACTCCGTCGAATCCAAGATCCCGCAGGTTACGACAAAATTGAAGAGCTAATTGGGAAATTGAAAGAGATCGTGATCGACGACGATGAGGAAGCCACTGAACCACTTTCGGCTACTAAAAAGGCAGAACTCCCCATGCCTGCTTTCACAATCCGACTCAACGATCCCGCTGGAAACTCTTGGATTGAGTTTATCGGGAGTATGGCTGACCCAAAGTGGAACATGCGAACGTATTCGCGCTCGTTGCAAGATAACATCACCTTGGGTCTAGTTGCACCAGAAGACCAGCCTGAGCTTGCTGTGGTCAAAGAAGAAGAAGTGGAGGAGGCTCTAGAGGGTCGCGAAAACGAGGAGATCTTCGTTTTCAAAGGCACCTGTTCGAGCTGTGGCCATCCGCTGGACACCCTCATGAAGAAGGTTACAATCCCATACTTCCAAGTAAGTTATCATCCAGAAACCCCTTCGCATTTCCTGAAACGCACAGGACGTGCTTATCATGTCGACGAATTGCGATCGATGTGGCTACCGAGACAACGAAGTCAAGTCGGGTGCCGCCATCTCTGAGAAGGGTAAACGAATAATACTCAAGGTGGAGGACCGCGAGGATTTGAGTCGTGACATTTTGAAGGTCGGCTTGTTAATATTTGCATTGTTTACACGGCTCACGTTCAATAGAGCGAGACTGCTGGCCTAGAAATACCGGAAATCGACCTTGTACTGCAGCAGGGCACTCTTGGTGGGAGGTTCACCACTGTCGAAGGCATCCTGGAACAAATATACGAAGAGTTATCGGAGAAAGTGTTTAAGGCCGGTGATTCGGCGGACGATGACGGGCGAAGCGCGTTTGAGATATTCTTGGGGAAGCTAAAAGGAGTGAAAGAGGCGAACGAGCCATTCACGTTGATTCTGGACGACCCGCTGGCAAATTCGTACGTGCAAAACTTGTACGCGCCAGACCCGGACCCCAACATGGTTATCGAGCTGTATGATAGGACATGGCAGCAGAACGAGGAGCTGGGCCTGAACGATATTAAGGTAGAGGGATACGAAGAGAAGCAGGAGGAGAAGGTAGAATCCTAGCTATTGTTAGTCAACTGTCTGTAGATTGTTTCTGTGAATTTGGTCTGAGTGGGGGTGAGAGACGACCAAAATAACAGTCCATAGAATCGTTTGGATAGAGCTGAAAAGGATGGATGCGATGTGGTGGCAGTTTGCAAAGGTTTGCAATTGGTCGTGACGCGTATTACGTAATATGTTCACTGATTTATGAGCAAGGCAAGAGAAAGTCCTTGAGAACCTCACCAGTTTAAACCAGATGAAAGGCGGCTTGCAGGAACACAATATCGTCGTCCTCAAGCTACCGGTGACTGAGTTTACCATGATTTTGTGGTTTGTGCTACGTAAACTTTAAAGTTGTTTAGGTCCGAGTCGGGTTGCCGTTGATGACGAACAAAACCGGGTTGGCAGTGCTCCGCGACTACGACTACGACCTCCGTACCCGCTAGCTCTATATGCGCTAGAAATCTTACTTTGAACGCTAATTTATGGTGGCAGAGTCAATACCACGACACATCACGCCTCCCACCACTTCATCTCGTTCTTCTTCCGTGTCCGCCACCCTTTCCCCTTCTACCGCAACGGCCCCTCGCTCCCGCACTCCCATGGCTCCCGGGTCGCCCATCTACGACCGACTCGAAGCTGGCCGGCCCCCTCCAAAGCAGTCGCTTCGTTTTGGCTGGAGAAAGTTTGCCATTGGCGCCAGTTTGCTGCTCGTGTTGGTGTGGCTGTTTGTGCCCAAAGAGCGACGCCACTTGCCGAAATGGAGCTCGAGCTCAGGGGATGAAGGTGTGTGGCTTCCTCGCTCGTGGCCGTGGCTGAATTTTACTCCCCAGTCATCCCACCACTCCGACGACCAACACGTATGTCTCATTAAAGCCTCCCCACACACCCCATCTAACCAGCCAACAGAAACGCCCGCCAAATCGCCCTCAAATGGCCTCAAACATCCTACATCCTTCGACGAAGATTCGGACCCAACTAAGACCACATACTGCAAAAAACCGCACTCTTCTTCTGAGCAACTCGTTCAGTTTGGCCTCATGATAGACGCGGGCTCCACTGGCTCACGTATCCACATCTACAAATTCAACAACTGCGGTCCCCAGCCTGTCTACGAGTATGAAGTCTTCAAACAGACGGAAACAACCAAAAAGAGTGGTCTGTCTTCATTTGCTGGCCGACCTGAGGCGGCAGCTGCCTCGTTGGATGTTCTCATGCAGGAGGCCATGCGTGTTGTCCCTCCTTCGCTGCGGAAATGCACTCCCGTTGCTGTTCGCGCGACTGCTGGACTGCGATTGCTTCCAGGCTCCCAATCCGCTGACATTCTCGCGGCCGTCACAACCCATTTACGCGACAACTACCCTTTCTCGCTCCCTTCCAAGGACCCCGTGACGATCATGGACGGCGCTGACGAAGCCGTGTTTGCCTGGATAACCGCCAACTATCTCCTCGGGTCAATCCGCGCAGATGCCAAACCCAAGACGCCCACTTTTGCCGTTCTCGACCTCGGAGGGGCAAGCACACAAATCGTTTTTGCGCCAGTCGGCGATGCACCGCTTCACGAAGGAGAACACAAATACGACCTTGACTTTGGCGGTAAAACGCGTGTGCTGTACCAGCATTCGTACTTGGGCTATGGGCTAATGCAGGCCCGTGCTAGCATCCACCGTGTTGTCCACTTTATGTCGTCGCTACACCACGATCCGCCTGTTGCAGCTCATGGCCAGGATCCCGTCATCAGCAATCCTTGTCTTTCTCGCGAAACCCGTCGCAGAGTCGAGCTCCCAATAGACGGCGGGGCGATGCAGAACTTTACCATGGACGGCGGTGATGTGGGTGGATTCGAGGCTTGTAAAAAGATCGTCGACCTCGTGCTTGCCAAAGACGCGGTTTGCACTGTCCGGCCCTGCGCTTTCGGAGGTGTCTACCAGCCTGCACTGAGTGAAGCCTTCCCGGCTCACGCTGGTCGGGTTCTCCTCCTCAGCTACTTCTACGACCGTGTTGCACCGCTTATGCCCAAACCGAAAGGCGACACCCAGCTTGCTACGACAGTTGATGAGATCGCTGATCTGGCCAAAGTTGTGTGCAAGGGAAGAGAAGGGTGGCTTCCTCGATGGGGCGCGCAAACTGCGTTGATGGCAGACTTGGAGGAGCGCCCGGAGTGGTGTCTTGACTTGACGTTTATGCATCGTCTGCTGCGGAACGGTTACGAGTTTGACGGCCACCGGGAAGTGATGTATGGCAAGCAGATTGCGGGGACAGAGTTGGGTTGGGCGCTGGGTGCTGGATTCAAGCTTGTTGGAGGTGTAGATGTACAGTGTCGTGTTTAGTCTCGGTATCGTAGCGGAAGATAATGTCGACTTGGATAATTCAAGCTTAAGGTTAGAAATGCTCGATCACGTGTTCTCACGTGTTCTAACTTAACTTGGTCCCCCTTCTGTCGACTTCTTGCTAGTTCCAACCGTCAACCGTATCGCAGGGGTTTCGATATCACTGGAGTAGCAGCCTGAGGCTCAGAATCAGGATCTCTTTGCAGTCCAAAATATTATGCTGCTACAGAACCCCTTCTGTCGGCTTCTTGCTGGCTCCAACCGTCAACCGTGGTTTCTCAGGGGTTTTGATATCACCGGAATAGCAGCATCAGCATCTCTTCGCAGTCCCAACTCGTACAACTTGAACTCTGCGTTTCTCCAGTTGTTTCTCTACGCTAGAGTCGCCCATGCTATGACTTGTTGCACGCATCTCAGAGCATTGAGAGCCAAGTAGGAACGATAGACTGGGGCCACTGAAAGACTGAGCTTTGTGTTTGGGAAAGTACCATGCTGGGCACCACACTATGGCAGCTGAGCTACAGGCCGACTGCATCTGGACTGCAGTTTGAATGGAAACAAAGCCCAAGGCAAGAGGGATAAAATCTCAATGAACGCTGCGCCAAATGAGTATTCAATCATGTCCCTCCCTCCTCCTCCGCCCACCCGCTCAAAGTTCGATGTGATTTCTGTCGACTCTCTCGAAGCTGCGCTGAAGAAACTCGATGCAAACATTGCCCTTCAAGACATCCTCGACGCTATTCACGAGGAGGACGAGCGCCGGGCCGTTCAAGTAGAAGAACGCCATGCAGCGGTCACTGAACGTGGGCTCTGCCACTAACTCTCCTTCATGTTCGCTCATTCGGCTCCCAGTCACCTGGCAACCTGCTGCTGGACTTGAAATGACTACAGTCTCCGAGTTTATCGCCAACCCTCCGGAGCCCATCGATGTCGATCCGCTCCGTGAACAGCGTCGCCGACGCCTTTTGGAGCTCACCAAGGAAGCATTCCCGGATGGGATCATTCCTAACCCTTTTGTGGTGGGCCCGCCGAAGACATGGCTCGGCCTATCAAAGGACGCTGCGGCCAATAAACTGCCTTTCATCCTCGCCACGCAAATCGTTATAACAAATGCCGAAGAGACGTCCCGTAATCCACCTCAGTCGGTCTTCACGAACGTCTGGTGTCTCTGGGACACTGGTGCGCAGACGTCCTTCGTCGTAACTAGCCAGCTGAATAGGGCTGTGACGAAGGGCAAGACTGAAGGCAGCTGTTTCATGGAAATATCGTGCGTTCAAAGCTCTATGACACGGTATCCTATCTAGCTTACTGTACGATTACAGCTTTGCGAACGTGAAGAAACCTAAGCCCATTGATTCCGTCATCCACTTCCGTCCGCAGCTCCCGAATGGCGCAACTTTCATTATCTTAGGCCAGCACGTATGCTGTTCTATTCGATCCAGAAGTGATTCTCACTAATTATTACAGGCTCTTCTCAATTGTATTCAATATTCCATTCAGCCTGCAGCACTGGACCCGTCGATCCGTAAAGGGTTTCCCAATGCTTATGGTCTTATCACGCATGTCCATTTTCCATCTGTCTTCTTTGTTGACTGAAGATGACTGCAGTCTGGAGAAGTGGGCTGATCCCGCAGCAAGTAATAGGGTAGTTCCCTTCGAAGGTTACTAGGGTGGAAGCTTGCGAACGTCGAAGGCTTGTACTACTGAAATTTACTGCGAAATTAGCAGCCAAATGCACATATCGGATTCCCTATCCTTTGCAGTCCTCGGCTTAATTTGGTCGCCCGCTCAGACCAAATTCACAGTCTGACACCAGTGTAACTGCGGGAGACAAGCCTTTTGTCTCTGCTCTTCTCCAACCTCATCCCAAAATGGTCCTATTCAGCACGTAACTCTTGAGATGACCTTTGATGACTAGTTCTTGCAAATCAGGTTACATGTGTGCTTTGCATGCTTCCCGGCCAGTTCCGGGCTGGTTTTCGAGTGACTGAGCAGCCTCGCTGGCGGCCAAGTAGATAAACGTGGGATTGAGGGTCAACCTTCATCGTCAACTCAAGTCGTACCAGGAAGAGATCGGACAACGTGTTTGATACCCCACACGAGCGCAGGAGAGCTGTAATATATGCTTTCAATGTCAAAAGACGCGGCGCAGGCATTGGGGAATAAAGGGTTAGTAAGCCAATGTGAATAACTTGGCCACCGATTATTCGGATGCTTCCTAATCGCTCCAGGTGCTGCTTAACTGCGACAATGGGAGATGGAAACAGCGTGGATTGTCTGGTGGATATAGATGTGGTGCTTCCGAAGGTATTCCAGACGATGTCAATGTCAACCTCTTATGAAGTATCATCATGAGCAACAAGATGTTGTGAGCTTGCAAGGGAGTCAAAAAAAATACTGGAAGTGGAATTTAGACATCTTACTAATCATTGCGGGCAGCAAGTGAAGTCCAGGTTTCGCTTTACTGACATTATAGGGAGATCGCAGGGCCAGAATTGCTGATATGATGCAATTTACAGGCTCGAAAACCAATGATTTCGCCGCATAGCCTGGCTAAAGAGAGAGACAACGATGGAAGCCGTCAAACAAACTTTCTTGATCGTGAGGGTCGAGAGTTCACTGCGAACAGGATGTAATCCGTGCAATCGGCATCTGGGGATGAACATACAGACAAGAAAGTAGACTAGATTTCTCTCTGTTCGAACATGTTAGTAACAGACTTCGGCTCTGCTGAAACGAACCAATATTTCATCTCTGCGTAGGCACAAAATTCTCTTCACCCTCATCCTCGCCGTCCTCTAACACCTTTTCGTCATCTTCGTCTCCATCTTCGCCTTCCTCGACTACGTCTTCTTGTAGGCCAGCCGCAGCATTACGTTGGCACTAGAAAGTCAATTAAACAATGATGTAAAGTAAAATAACAGCACGCACATGATAAACCGCTGTCCAGTACCCACCCCAGTACATGGCACCCAAGGCTCGCTGGAATGCTTCATCCTGACTGGGCATCGATGCAAGATTTGGGAGGTGGTAGCCCTCATTTGACTCGGGAAGGGTCGGCGCCGGCAAAACGAGAGACGCGTCATAAGTTGGCACGAAGGTCGCGAAATCTATTGGCTGCGAGTCTCCATCGTTTTCCGGTGCAACAGCCTCGGTCCTAGGCCTTTTCTTCGGTGGTTGATTGGGAGGGACATTGTACCATCTGTCTTACACGGTTAGTAGGAAGGCAACGGGGGTGAAGAAAACACACAACGGAGATTTATGTACCGGCTCGCTCTTCCATCCCTTGTCCGGTCCATTCAGTGCCTGCAAGAAGTATTGAGCTGTCGGATCGTTGAGTGATCAGCAAGAAAACACACTTCATATTCCTCTGTCGCCGCATTCCACGCGTCAATGAGCGCGGAGTCGTCCCATATTTCTTCCGCAGTTAATATGCGACTGTCAGGATCGTCCTCATCGTCGTATTCTGGCTCTTGTTTTACGGGGGCTTGAGGTGGTTTCTTGTTTCGATTATGGTTGTTGTTCCATTTGCGCTTTTTGGAGGACGACGCCTTGGGCGGAGATGAGGCTACAGCCGCTGGCTTCGTGGGCTCAGAGTCATCGTAAGACAGTGTAATGTCGTCGTAGGAGATGACGGGCCGCTGCATACAGAGTCACACCGTGTAACAACCTTTCACTCGCGACAATGCAGGGCCAGTTCGCGACTTCCAATACGCACAAATACTCCGTTATCCTGCCGACCTATAATGAACGCAAGAACCTGCCTATTATAATCTGGTTGCTTGCCAAAGTCTTCGAGGAAAAGTCGGTCATTCTCGCTGGCGCGACTGCTGCTAACTAAGGACTGAACGAAATAGTCAACTTGCTTGGGAGATCATTGTTGTAGACGATGCGAGCCCGGATGGGACGCAAGAGGTCGCGATGCAGTTGGCTGGGGTTTATGGTCCCGAGAAGATTGTACGTGTCGCGTCTTCTGACGAATGTCTCATATCTTTTTCACAAGGTGCTGAAACCGCGGGCGGGAAAGCTTGGTCTTGGGTCAGTGCAACACTACATGCTTTTGTGCTGATACCTCTGACAGAACGGCTTATATTCATGGACTCAACTTTTGCACGGGAGACTTTGTTATTATCATGGATGCCGACTTCTCCCACCACGTATGCGCGTCTAAATCACTTGTACTAATTAACGCGTTTTTCAGCCGAAATTTATCCCGCAGTTCATCAGGTCTGTCTTGTTGTTTGTGTTACACCTTACTTAGGCGTCAAACAGCCTGCAGAAAGCGCATAATCTTGACATTGTGACTGGAACCCGCTACCGCTCGACATCGAAGCCTTTCTTGCAAGAAGCAACGCTGGGGGGAGTGCATGGGTGGGATTTAAAGCGCAAGCTTGTTTCTCGTGGAGCTAATTTCCTGGCGGACACTGTGCTGAATCCGGGTGTGAGTGATTTGACGGGGAGTTTCCGGTATGTCTCCGTTTGACTGCTGCTTCTATTGCTTATATGCTCGCAGGCTGTACCGCCTGCCCGTGTTGCGGCATATTATCGCAGAGACTCAGTCGAAAGGATATGTCTTCCAGATGGAAATGATGGTCAGAGCAAGAGCGTTGGGTTACACCGTTGGCGAAGTACCAATAACTTTCGTCGACCGCATATTTGGAGAGAGTAAGCTTGGTGCAGACGAGATTGTCGGCTACGCGAAGGGTGTCTGGGCATTGTTTGTCGGTATATAATTTCCACGACTCCATTGGCTTGAGATTAGGTTATGATGTCACCGATCCTGATTTGGATTGCCTCACCAAACTCTTTCCGCAACCACCACCATGAGTCTATTGCAAGACGTTTTGCGGTCCAACGTACTCGACGCGAAGTCGATAGAGAGGCGACTGAACAAAGTTGTTCAACAGAGGGGTAACACTTCTGACGAATCAGACGATGAGCTCGTCAACGTTGTGAGTCAGATCCCACCTTTCTCTACCCCTCCTTATTCATTCCAGGTATCACTCCCCGGCACGCCTGCTAGAACCCGTCCGCCGTCGCCTACCCGGCGGCGCTGCTACCCGCCCTTTACGGGGCCCACTACATTTATCATCGGCATCTCCATCGCGCCGCGATCTACTCAAGGCGCTTCCCACAGAAATATCCCAGAGAATATTCGGGCAACTCCCACTGAAAGACCTGGCTAGATGTGCGCTCGTTTCCAAGAAATGGAATCGCAGCCAGACAATAAACTATGGTCAATCTTCATCCCGACGCAAATTTCGAGAACTGTATCTGACGTCCCACTAGTATGGTTCCAACACTATAGAAAGGAGAATTTCCACGACGAGAGTTTACCTCCGGGCAAGTGGACGAAGAGAGAATCGAAGCAGAACTGGGTGCGCTGTGCCTTACTCTGGGCCAGCCCAGACTGATATTGTCTCAGAGAGTTGTACATTTATCGAACGGCCGTCGTTCGCCGGGGAGCACGACAGCGGTCATGTCCCGTGGCTCAGGCTACACATCGCCCGTCCTTTCGGGAGCCCAGACACCTCGAGAACTGAAAGAAGAGAAGTGGAGACAGGAGGCGGAGGTCACCGCTCCAGGAAAAATAGAGATGCGTGGAATGTACAAGGAACTCAATGGCCGCAAGTCGAAGGCTAAACCGAAGTGGGGTGGGGGTGGGGGTGGAGTGCGTGATAAAGGTGGTTGGGTCGGCGATGGCGATTATTAAACCCAAACAAATCCTTCGCAGTGTACTTATCATCGATATACGCTTTCAGTGTCCTTCGGAACCGAACTCAGGCTAGAATATTAAAGCTTGTCTCTTTTACAGCCCCAATATCGTGGCGGTCGTAAACTCCCTACGATGCATTAAGGCAACCAAGTTATTCTCAGCAACTGTATAGATAATATCACGTGACCGGCCATCGGGCCGCCCTTTCAAGTTCTTCCTGTCAAAAACTTTCACCGCCTGGGATGTCTGGCCAATCCGCTGCCGCGTTGCGACATCATCTGGAGGAAATCGACGCCAAAACTGCGGCTCTAGCTGCTGAGCGACAAAATGTTGTTGAAAAGTTGCAGCGTATTACCTACCGCGTTCTCAAGCTTCCGGTGGAAATAATGTCCGAAATTTTCCTCTTATCCTCCCTCGACCGCATCAAGATCGGAGAGCATCAAGACACGGGCCCATTTATACTTGCCAGCGTCTGCAAGCATTGGCGCGAGATTGCGTTGGGACTGTGCCAACTATGGACGCGCATCTCCATACTCTGCTTGGATCCCCGCCCAGTCCAACGAATTCTCTCTCTCTGCGTGTCCCGCGCTGGTAATGCCGTGAATCTCAATGTGGAGTTTTATGGCTTTGATGCAACGTTCGCGTTGCTTGCGCCGTTAGCGGAACGGTTGTCAGAACTCGAGCTCCACTCAGTCAGGATACGCCAATGGAACAGCATACGTCAGCGCCTGCCTCGCCTGCAACGACTCAGCATTTACTGTCCTTTTGACGAGCCTCTAGGTCGCGAGGGCCTTCGTGTCGTATTCGAAACCGCACCGATGCTTCGAGAGGTCCATCTTTCTGGGCCAGTGAGCAACAACCCTTGCGATCTAATTTCTCTCCCATGGGCACAGCTCACAAGTCTCTCGCTCTTCTCCATCAAGCCGGACTGGTGTATCCAAATATTGTCCAAGACACCCGCACTCGAGACCCTCAATTTGGAGCTTTTCGGGGTATCATTGCTTTCTTCCACATTGCCCAAGCTCAGTCTCGAACGTGTGCACACTCTGATAGTAGACTGCACTCCAAATCCAAGTGACGCCGGACCGAGAAGACACCATTTAATCGACTGGCTCACGCTTCCTGCGCTCACCCATCTCACTTTCCGCCACCGCGAGCCGTATGTGGATGTGTTCCCCCAACTCCTTTCCCGCTCCAAATGCGGCGCCACGCTGCGTTCTGTGACTATTGATACGAATGACAGCTACGGAGCCGTCACGCGCATTCTAGATGCTGCCCAGCATCTCGACCGCCTAACTGTGACCGGACTCGGATGGGAGGAGCTAGAGGAACTGATGTTTTTCCTCGCGCCGGGAGACGGCGAGTCCAACTCGGATACGGAGTCAGAAGCATCAATTATTCTCTTGGACGGGCCACCAGTAGCACCCGCAAAATCACCTCAGCCCATTCGCCACATCCAACACGTCCGGCTCGCTATGGCTCTGGGCCCCATTCCATACCCGTCAATAGCGTCGTTCGTCTCGCGCAGCCAAAATATCTCCCTGAAGAGCTTTGAGTTGTGTATTCCTCACAACAAGCCCGACCCCACTACCGCAGCACACAGGAAACCTGAGGTCGAGGCTGCCGCTGTGAAGAAGATTCGACACATTGCAGCGGCGCCAGATCGTCCCAACGTCAGCATCAAGTTTGGGGATGTCGATGTCCTATCGTAAGTTTTGAAGCGGCTACATCCTTCTTGCTAACATTTTCCTAGCAACTCAAAACTCGGAGTCTAACTTCAAGATCATGAAAATGACAGCCCGAGGAGGCGGACGTGACGAGAGGACATGACGAAGAAGTCCGCGGCTTGAAATAAATAGGCTGAAAGGGCAGTTCGCAGATGCAAGGGCGGAGGTGGCGTAACTTGCACACCAGTTGAAGGAAACGGAAGACAGACTAAACAAGATCAAGGTGGAAGAAAAGGCAGAAACGAGACTGGTACAAGTCGAGGAGCGCTGTCCAGTAGAGATTCTCTCGTCCCCCGTGGCTGTAGAATGTCACCTACCTGAAATGAAGTACCGGCAACCAGCGATGAATGACAACTGCTTTGTCATGTCTTGCACCTGCAGGCTTACTTTGATTGTGTAATGCATACCATCGAAAAGCAAGGTTGGGCAGTGTGCTCAAGACTACTGTACTTGCCTAATTTCGTGGCATAACATTGGGATAGAACTCTGGAGTTTATATATGACTCTCATGAAAGACGAGGATTTGACTATATTTTGTCAAGCAAATCAGAGTTCTTGGCCCTACGCGGAATTCCAAATTTAGTAAGTCACCTGCCTAATTAGGATACACTCGTTTCTTCGAGATACATGAAGATGCCTATACTCCATGTAGACAACGTTGACGAGCTCAAACTATGCTGTTTTTTTTTTTGCCATATCACTCATTCGTGCTTCTGCGTCTCACTCTCTCTTCGTCCCTCATATAAAAAAATATGAACAGCGACTTCAATCGGGCTTATCTCACAAGTCCTTATAGCATAGCACTTCATAGTCCTGACCAGATATCAGTAGCATTCCCGCTTTTCATTGGGCCTCTCACCTTTGAAGACAGATTTGTCTCGTCGTCAAGCCTCTTGGAGACGCCTCAAAACAAAAATGTCAATGACCATCATCATCCTCAAGGGCCAGCATACCGTTCTGGCCATCCTTCACGTGCGTCACGTAGGTGCTACCTGACTTGGTGAAGCGCGCGATATAGAGAGTACTGGCAACTCTGCTCGACTCCTTGTCCCAGCCGGGAACCAATTCGAGGCCCGAGTCAGCCTTGAATCGTCCGTGATGCGGGACCCACTCCAACAAGGACCCTTCGCCAACGAGTATCCAGAATTTGCGTTCGCCTCCATGGGCATCTTGAACAATAGTCGTCACCCTAAGTTACATCAAGCCGGAGGGACTCACCACAGAACCCTCCGTCGCCAATATCGGTGATATACCATGAAGCCTGCTTTATCTCGATTCGCATGACGGAGAAAGATATGCCATCTCGGTCTCCAGACTCGATGGGAGGTGGATGGAAATTGTCAGCGTCGAAGTGGCCACCAGCGGATTCCCAATGGCATGTCTACCGGTCGTACTTCAGATATCGCCGAATACACGAGGAACACGCTCACCAGAAGGCGCACTTTTCTCGCCAACGTCTCGTGCTTTTTCTCTGTATCCTTTTTCTCCGTCTTGACCGTCTCCAGCATCGTCTCCATTTCCTTCATGCGGTTCGACAACTTGGCCATCTCTGCCGTTGTCTGCCCCTTCAGCGCTCGAAAATCGCGCACGAGTTTATCCGTTTCCGACACGCTTGTGGCCAACTCTTGCTTCAGCGCGCCGATCTCGGTCTTGTGTTTGTTCGCAAGGTCCTTCATCACCTCGCCAAGTTGGGTACCGAATCCCGCGAAGTTCTTTGTCACGTCCTCCCTTAGGGCCTGCATCTCGTTGTCATGCTCCTCCCCAAGACCTTTCAATATGTTCGCGAGGTCACTAGCGCTTAGCCCCGAGTTGTCTGAAGCATCAGGCAATGGTTCCTTGGCTGGGATGTTGGTAGCGAGGTCATCGTCTATCTGAACCGGTGGAGGCCGGGGCTTTTCCCCGCCGGTGTCGATGGTCCACATTTGGGAAGGGCTCGGATTATGCTCTTGCGCAACGACCTGAGCAAACATTACGACGACGAAGAAGGCCAACACGCTACATACCGCTTTGAGAGACGCATCAGTTCGTATGGATGCTTTGGCATCTGCGTGAAGCGTGTGGCGAAGGTTGACGGAGTCATGAATGCTAGAGATATTGATGAGGAGCAAGTAAGTTGTTGTGGAGTAAGGGCATACTGGTACATTGATGAGCGCTCACCGAGCTTGCTCTTTGTGGGATTGATCCACCAAGAGTAGGGCTCGGTAGCGAGGGTCAGGATACGGCCTTTCCCGCGGTCTTCGCCAGACATAGCAAGATATCGTCCAGTAAAAATGTTCTTGATCGTGTAGCCCGTTTTAGTGGCCAAGACCTCCCACTATTACAATGAGATTGAGTTAGCAAACGAACGAAAAGTACCGTTTACCTTCTCCGTATCCTGCCCAGTCTTCTTCCGCACCAAGACAGAGCTACCAGAGGCGGAGAAGTACTCGGGCAGATGCTCTGGAGGATCTTGAGCGGTGAGTGTGGAGCCTGGGATTGAGACAGGGTTGACAGAGTAGGTTCCATCGGGTATTATGTTGTAAGGGGCTGGCGCGGCCAGGCCCGTGTCGAAAAGGTCCCTCTCGAGCCCGCATGCGATTCGAAATATGTAGTTCCATCGGTCGAGTCCACCTTGCGCGGCAATATTTTCATTGATGAATTCTTGGGGATGACGGTCAGGTAAATTTGGCCTACGCTTTTAGGCACGACATACTGGTATATTTGCCAACGGAAGAAGAGTCGAAGTTGACTTCGATCCAAGCTGGATGGTAGATGACATCTGGGTCGACAGCTTCTTAAAAAAAGTGCAAGGCAAATTAAATCCGTACTTTTCACCGTCTTGGGATCGTTCATGAGACGTTCAGCGATCTTCCAGTAGCACTGATAAGTTTGAATGTCAGCAACATATAGACAAGGCATGAGCTATACCGCACCAATACGCAAGGGAGTAAGACAACATAGTATCTGCGAAAGTTTTAGCTGCGTAAATGAAAACGAACGACGGTGCAAAACGAACCCCAGCAGAGCGTGTTCGTTCCGGAGAGAGTCCTTGTAGAATCTCTGGCTTGCGTCAAGTTGAACACTTTGCTTGGTCGCCTTGATCGTTTCTTCCGTGATCCCGAGCATCGTCATGCAAACCTCCTTCAACTTTGTCACATATTCGATTGAGGATTTATGACGGTATTCGAAGCCTTCAACGGCATCGAAGTCAGATGCTTCAGCGACAGACATCATCTTCAATCGAGCGCAGGTTTCCAGGTACAGTTTGTCTTGCTATCGAAATGCGCATGAGAGCGGTTCTGGAGAGAATAGAAGCGATATTGACCAGCATGTAGTATCTGAAACCGTCCAATGACGCAGTTCCCTCTCCCATAGCGCGGGGGAATGGGTGGTTGATGACTGCATCGAAGACATCTTGGTTTCTCTTCAGCAACTCGGCAACAAAATCTTCCTGGGCTTGTGGTTTGGCTTGAGGTGGAGGTGGAACGGGGGAAGCGGCGGGAGGAGGCGAAGTAGACGGCGCCGTCGAGAACGGGCTTGGAGGCGGCACCACCGGCGATCCGGACCGGGGAGATTCAGGTTGGAGGACAGCACGGTGTACTTGATTGACGACGGAGGCCCACGACCAAGGCTTTGCTCTAGAGATGCTTGGTTCAGTCGAAGGTCAAGAATGTTAGTTATCCGCTTACAGTGGTGGACGTTGACTTGTAGTGCTTCGCTTTCGAGGTGTGGGACGCCATTCTGGACGGAAGATGAGCTTGGTGTCGGGTCTGGATGATGTCTTTGAGCGACTGGCTACACTGTGGATAAAGCTACGTACGCAGCGGCGTCAGCTTCAGCGGCTGTGAGGGCAGCATCAGCGATGGAGACTATAGTCTCCTCCAAGTCTGCGAATTGGGCCATGATGGACAACGAGCGCGGCAGCGATTCTTCAGGTGGGGTTTTATCATGTTTATCTCTTGACGCCTAGCAAGGCACCGTCTATTTCTTCCGTTGTCAGCTCCCTGTCGATGAACTTGGAAGTTTAGCGCCCGACCGTGGGTACTCTGGTTCTGCTCAACGCCCCGAAAGTGGAAAGCGCCGGGGAATAGACTAAATAAGCAGCGTGTGAAGACCAAGTAGGCGCTGCGGAGAGCGAAGTTGGACAGAATACCATTGGCAATGCCATCTGGATGTCTGGGAGGGAAGAAAACGTGTTACATACCGTCGTGTTACTGTCACTCGAAACCACCTACCACCTTACTACCACCTTGCCCCGAGTTACAACAGCGAGTCTTACTACAAGAGCGTGTCTACATACTACAAGAGCGTGTCTACAATCTGCTTCTCGGAATATCGTGTTCTGCAAAACTAACATGCATTTGTGAACTCTGAAATTGCTCAAGAATCACATCTGGCCTGTTTCTCCGAAAGTTCACACTCTACAAGATTATCGTCGTCTGTCCCTCTCGGATCTTGACCACACGGATACCTCGTGTTCATGCCTTTCAGCCCGTTTACGTCGATCGACCCAAAACTTGGCGCGAGCGCCTCAATCGGGTTCACGCATCCGTCCCCTCTGCTTATCGTTCGCAGGCTCGACGTCGATGATTCTATATTGACATCAGCTGGGACAACAACCAGGGGGGTATTGTGCTCGCTGATGGTTACGACTGGCGACTCTCCCGATGGAACGAATGGGCTTTGGCCGCTTTGCCAAGTTACTACTCGTTTTCAAGTGCCTCTAAGTTTATCCAACTCTTCGTTTCAATGTCAGTCTGAATTCAGGGTGCGTGCTGTCAGTGCTGCAACTGAGATGTCTGTCTCCAAATAAAAAACCGACAAATGAACCCTGGATGTACTTCCGTGAGAACAGTGCTGGTGCGATATATAACCTCAGTCGATGCGATCATTGTCCTCGTTCCTTCCCTTCCCATCGCCATGCCTGCACGCTCGAAAAAGAAAAGTGGCAAGAACAGTGGTGCTGTTGACCGATGGAAAGCCCTTGCTCTGGATGTTCTCAAAATAGCCGTACCGGTGTCTAAAGCGATTCCTTTGGTCGGGAACACTCTTGAAGGTGCCCTTGAAGCTGTTCTGTACATCATCGAAGTCAAAGATGTGCGTTTCCTCCGTCAACAAATAATAACTTGACTAAGCTTGAGCTTAGCAAGTCAAAACAAAGCGCGAGCAATGTGACCTCCTAGCTGATCGTGTCTTGAGTATCACGGCTGCGATTACCACAGAGCTCATGAAGAGTGATCGGGAAACCCTGGCAAGACGTGAAAACAGTGTCGCAAGTTTGCGGGGGTATGTTACAAAGCTTTATTGTCTGTTGGTTATGTGTTTATCCAAATCATGTAGTACCTTGCGAGAAGTCAAAGATCTTCTTGACCACCTGACATCTGTCTCTCTGATTCAACGAGTCCTTGAGCGTGGTGAAGTTGATGGCAAGCTAGCAGTATTGAATCAGAAATTGAACACTGCAATAGACAACTTCAATGTTTGTCCCTTGTCCTTTCAGTGATCATTCTAACAAATGTCTGCAGATTACAGAGCATATGCGCTCAGAAGAGACCTTGAACCAATTACGTGAAGCAGTGCAAGATATGCAAAACAAGCAAAATATCTTGCTGCTCAATTGTAAGTTCAATCTATGTCTGACTTGATGCATATGCTCAGAGCTATGCTTTGACAGCCTTGCTACAGCCAGTTACAAGTGCAAGCTTCCATGCACGTCATTCTAGTACTGGTTGCTTTCCTGGAACCTGCAAACAACTATTAGATAGACTTGCTTCTTGGTTCAATGACACAAATGGCCCCCAGATTTTTTGGTTATCAGGTTTAGGTGGAACCGGAAAAACTTCAGTATCTCATACTTTGTGCCAAAATCTTGCCCAACATCTTGGTGCAAGTTTTTTCTTCTCAAGAGACAAGGCTGATTGTCGACAAGTTGCCTCAGTTATACCAACTCTAGCATTCCAACTAGCCTCTGTTAACCCTACATATTGTGGGAAACTCAGTGATGTCTTGAAGGCACAACCAGATGTGGCCTCTTATGCACAGCAGGCTCAATTAACAGAACTTCTTCTGAAGCCTCTCAAGCAAGTTGCATTCTCAGGTACCTATCTCATTGTGCTTGATGCACTTGATGAGTGCAACCAAGAGAGGGGTGTTGAAGGTGGAGATCTAATACCCCTGCTTCTAACTGAATTACCTCGTTCTGGTTTGAATATCAAGGTTCTTGTTACAAGTCGCCCAGAACGTTCAATTCAAGACATATTCAGACCTATAAATCTGGATCCTATGGCTATGCATAAAACTGTGGTTCTGTATAATATGGATCAAGCTGTCATTACGGAAGATATCAGTGTCTACCTAGCCTATCATCTTGAAAAGATTCAGCAGTTACGTAACATATCTCCTTCTTGGCCAGAATGGCCAGGAAATGATGTGTTTAATAAATTAGTTGCACATGCAGGCCTCTTCTTCATTTTTGCTGCTACAATTGTCAATATTATTGCAGATCAACTGTACAGCCCTAAAAAACAACTTCAAAGGCTGTTGGAAACTGTTGATATCAATAGATCAACAACAACAACATTATATAGCCAGGTTGATCTTCTTTACTTGCAGATTCTACAAACATCAGTAGAAAACAGAGCTGATACCCCAGAACTCTGTGCTAGATTCCAGAAAATTGTGGGAGCCATCATGGTTCTACAAAATCCTCTTTCTATATCTGGACTGGCAGAGTTACTTGACTATGATCAGGAAGACATCAAAGGAGCACTTACTCCTCTTCATTCTCTTCTTATAGTGCCTTCTGATTATGAGCAACCTATCCGCATATTTCACCCCTCTGTTCAGGATTTCCTTCTGATCAAAGGACGATGTCAAGATTTACGATTTAGTATTGCTGAAAGACAGATGCATTCACATCTTGCAAAATGCTGCTTAGATATCATGCTTCAACATCTAAAACGCAATCTCTGCAATATAGAAAATACTACTGCACTTAACTCAGAGATACCAGATCTAGAGCACAGACTTCAACAATATATTTCTCCAGCATTATTATATGCATGTCAGTACTGGGGCATACATTTAGCCAAGTCAGACAAAAGTCCTGAACTAGCAGAAAAAATGATTACCTTTGCTTCTACTAAACTGCTCTATTGGATAGAGATACTCAGTTTGCAGCAGAGGTTTTCCCTTTGTATCAGTAACTTGCTTACAGTATTTGAATGGTGCAAGGTAATTTTATTACTATGATTTGAAATAAATACTGATTTTTTTTAAAAAAAATAGAGTGCTATTCCACAGAATTATCCTCTCATATATGATGCTTACCGACTTGTACTTGATTTTCACAATGCTATAAGCATTAGTGCCTTTCAAGTATATGACTCTGCTCTTTTGTTTATTCCCAACTGCTCAATTCTTCAGGCTTATAAACAGGAACTCCCAATGTTTAGCTTAAGAAGCCCTAGAACTGTAAACTGGGATGCAAACCTGTTAGTTCTTGAGGGACATACATCATCTGTCAATATGATATCTTTCTTACCCAAAGGAGGAAGGGCTGTATCTGCTTCAGATGATGGATCTATTTGTATCTGGGATACCTCTAATGGAGCACAAGTCTCTTGTTTGCTTGGTCATGAAGGAGCAGTGAATTCTGTCAAATATTCCTCAGATTCATCCTATATTATATCTGGAGGTGCTGATGCCACAATTCAACTTTGGGAAGCAATTACTGGATCTCATCTCTTTACCTTTGTTGGTCACAAAGCCTGTGTTCAGGCAGCTATCTTCTCAAAAAGTGATAACATAATTATATCTGGTTCAGATGATAGTACAGTTGCTCTTTGGAGTGTTCAGGAAAGAAAACAGCTAGCATTATTCACAGGGCATTCAGGTTCTGTAACTTGTCTTGCCATTTCAGCTGATGGCTTTCAAATCTTTTCTGGCAGTGAAGATTCCACTATTCATATCTGGGATATAAAAACAGGAAGCTTACTTAAAGTCATTCAATTTGCAGATGCAGTTCTATGTCTTACTGTTACATCTTCCCTGATCTGTTCTGGCTCCAGAAATGGAGTGATCACTGTCCAAAATGCTAAAACATATGAAGAGATTAACTGTCTAGGTGATAATACTACAGCTATCAACTCTCTTGCTATTTTAGCTGACAGTAAAGGAGTATGTCTTCTTTCTGGCTCTTCAGATGGAATTATCCGCATTTGGAATCTTACAGAGAATACCTGTACTACAGAGTATAGGGGACACTCTGGTCCAATCAAATCTATTTGCTCCATGTCTGATGGACTTTATATCCTTTCTTCATCTGTGGACAGAACTATACGCCTATGGGATGCTACAATGACTGGTGTCCAGGGCTCAAAAGACTTTGTAATGGTGGTGCAAATACCAGAACAGATTGATCATATTGCATCAGGCTCTACTGATGGAAAGATTGCTTTATGGAATACAGATGATGGAAGTTTAGTTCATAAACCAATTCAAGCTCACCAGGGAACTGTCTTGTCATTAGCCTTCAGCAGTGATGATAAGCTCTTAGCATCAACATCTGTTGATCAGACTATCTGTATTGTTGATATAGAACACTGGCCTGAATTTATTATTCTGGAAGGACATACAGATGAGGTTTATACAGCACAGTTTTCTGCTGATAGCACTCTACTTGTCTCTGCCTCTCCAGATACTTCTGTTATTATCTGGGATATTGTGACCAAAGCACAGAAGCATTTGCTATATCATAATGCTGGGGTTGGTGTAGCCTCTTTTTCTCCAGATGATAAACTTATATGTTCTGGGACTCTTGATGGTAAAATCTATATCTGGGATGTCCAAACTGGAGATCAAATCACAGTTCTCAAGGGAGATCCAAGTCCAATGCCTCCAATTCTCTGGGTATTATTTTCTCCAGATGGCCAATGGCTTGCTTCATGGCTGGAAGATGAATCTGTAAAAGTGTGGAAAGTGGACAAGCTAATTTTTGAACCATGGCCTATACAGGACTGGAGATTAGATCGGCAAGCAACTCATAACCAAGGAATTAAAATAAGAGAAGGGAAGAAACCTGTGACATATGGAGACTTGCTTCCAGATGATGAAATGCATTATCTTCAGGAGGATGGATGGATTACATTTCCACATACTGGGAAACGAGTTTGTTGGGTGCCAGCAAGTCGGCGCCAACCTTGGTTGAGGACATTGTGGGAGGCAAGCAAGGGGATCTTTGCAACAGGCTCACAGGCAGGGAATCTGACCATAGTTGATTTGAGATCCACAATTGTTTAGTTGAATGACTCAAGTTGTTAATCTGTAAATTCAAGAATATTAATTATTGATTAAACCTGTTAGTATTTGAGATGTCTTATTATCCTTTTCTATCTGTAGACTAGATATGATAAATGAAATAGATAGCTATCTAAGGTAAGTAGTTATGCCATTGTTTGCGACGATGTTCCTCAACTTTTGCCCAATATCTCTCTTGCCAGCCTTCTTCTCCCTTTAACATCGACTTCTTGAACCACCGGATAGACCGTGCGACTTGCTCCATGTCACGTCCATTATAATAATTATGGCCACCACAAGGATGTACTATTGGAACACTGTCAGGACAACTTGAGGGCATGGAAGTTGTGGAAAGGGAGGATGTTGATGATGAAGTTGAGCTCGAGGTTAGAGTAGATGATGAGGTGTCACAATGGAAGAGGGAATATTCTTTCATGTACACAGGAACATGATATAGTCGTCCATGTTTACAGTAATATGGTTGTCGAACGAAATGTCTGTAGCCAAACGCCATGGGAGGCATGGCCGTAACACCTGTGCGGTTGTTAACATGAGTGGTAGCTTTAATCGTAAATGGTCTGACCATCATTATGCATTTTGACCGCAAACTCAGCGAACGACTTGTTACCATGCTGTTTTTGCCTCTTCCCAACCAGCTCAGACCAAAAGTTGACAAGCCCTTCGGTTCCAACCCGTGGTCCACCAAATCCAACGAAATGTAGTGGTGCATTGCCCAGAGGAAGCAAGCTTTCATCATGTAAGATGTCCAATACCAGCAGTTGGGATATAGCGGAGCCCATGCTGTGGCCCGTAATCACCACCTCAGAAATTCTCCCGTTCAGTTCCGTCAATGCATCCCTCAACCCAGCAAGACACGGGGTCCTGATTCCCTTGTACAACTTCCAGAACCCAGAATGAATTTTGCCTCGTTTGGAAGGGTGTGGATGTCGCAAAGCATGGATATTGTAAAGCGCTTGGAGTGCTGAATCAACATTTGTACCGGATATAGCGACTATTAATTGCCCAGTGTCTTCGCGGTAGGCGACAAAGCCAGGTAGATGTGCAGTCGTGCCAACGAAAGAGTTCAAAAGACGTGCGGGAAGAAGGGCTCGATAACCTTCCAATGGGAGACCGGGTTCAACAAGAACAGGGAGGTTCTGAAAGGCGGTGGCGACAGGAATGACATTGTAAGCAAGTTCTGCGAATTGGCCTCTCAGTTATGTCAGTTATAGGTTGGGAAAAGACCTCAGTTACTATTTCGGCAAGGTATCCTTGCAACTCGTGTGGGACGAGATGCTCCCCTCCAAGCGCCTCCGGTGCTGCCTCGCGAGGATACGAGAAATGAGGCGGAAATTTGTGACCTTCTCATTTGAGTACATGAGCTTTTGCTCCTCCGTCAGGATCAGTTTGTCTTTCGCTGAGGTGAGCATTGGGGCGATTTGGTCGTGTGCCAGCTATAAAATATGATTTTCGCTTTGGCCTGAGGTAACCGATGACGTCGAGGTTTCAAGTGGAGCCACGGGCGATGGAAAACAACAAAAGCGGGGAAATTGTTGCTTGTGAAGACAAAAGATGAGAAGGGGAGTGTGGCGGGAAAGAGGAAAAGCCAGTGCAGAACAGAGTGAGGATTCGGCGAGGCCGCTGGCTGTGTTCGAAAACTGATTGCGGGTCGGTCAAATTGACGGTCGGCATAGATGAGGACATCGAACACCAACGACTGCAAGCAACTATCATCGCCGCTCCTCAAGGAAGTCGGTGGTTGAACACAAGGGAGAGGCACTCAGGCAAATTACATGTAAAAAAGTGACGTCCCGTCACGGGACTTTGAAAGATTTCCCAAGGTTGTTCCTCCTCAATTCCTCCTCCTCACTGCAGGAGTTTGGGAATAAACAGTGCCCCTTTCGATCCATTATACACCTAAAATCAATGTACCAAAAAAAGATTTTTTTTATACCTCTATTTGCACCCAAAAGAAATCGTTCCAAATATGCCTGCTTATATGAGAAATAGATGCTATAAACAGACTCAGTTTTGTCCCCCGGTTTGGGGGCAGATTAAACACCCTTTTCTAGACCAGCTTTTGCATCAAAATAAGGACCAAAAAAATATGGTCCAGGGCCCTGATATATATCATATAAGTGAATATATGTGAATATTTTTGGTTCATGTTTTGATACAAAAACTGGTCTAGAAAAGGCTGTTTGATCTGCCCCAAAACCAGTTGACAAAACTGAGTCCGTTTATAGTATCTATTTCTCATATAAGCAGGCAAATTTGGAACAATCTTTTTTGGGTGCAAATAGAGGTATAAAAAAATTTCTTTTTTTGGTACACTGATTTTAGATGTATAATGGATCGAAAGGGGCACTGTTTATTCCCAAACTCCTGCAGTGCCTTCTTTTCCTTCTCGGTCCCGAACTAAAAGATACTTAACCAAGTTCTATTTTCATCTCAATCGATCCATCCGCCAACGGGCCGCATGTGCCATTCGACGGTCATGAGCTCATCGACTCCAACGCATCCTTTCGTCAAGTGGTCTGGACCGCAAGACCTGCATAGCTTCTCGAATCGATGCATATAAGCACTGGGTGGGTATCCCTTGAGTGGCGAACCCAATATGTCTTCCAGTCTGGTTGGCCTTGTCCCTTTCGTCGTTTCCTTGATGTTACTATCGTCGGGTGTGGGTAGTCAGACACCTACGACGCCGTATGTTTCTTTGTGCCACGCCATATTGACATCTAACTCGACTCAGTTGCCCCCAAGAAATTTCTCTCGATCCCTTTAGGCTCTGTGCGTCCAACCGGATGGCTGTTTGACCAGGCAAGTTGCGATGTCCGCATCACTTTTTTTACTGACCATTATTTCTTCAGCTGATGGTTCAAACCAATGGCCTTGCAGGCCACGAACACGAATTCTATCATTAGTCTGTGATATACCAATCATCTCTCTCCGTTTCTCAAGTACCCTCAAGTGTATCCCAAACCGACTGGACTGGAGGAAGTGCTGCATATTCCAGTCTCGAAGAAGGTGGGTTGAGCTTGTCCTGCGCTGTTATTTTCTCTGATCGGATATCTCAGCGGGAAGCTACTGGTTTGTATGTTGCCTCACCGAAGCTTGCGCTGCCTTTAACGTTGTCAAGAATGCAATGGTTCCAAATGGCGTACTCGTCAACAACACTGCCATCAAGGCAAAGACCTCGGCCTTTCTTTCATATGTTTTGAGCCACCAAGACTCCACTGGTTGGCTCGGTCCTGAGGTCGGGACTACTAAGGGCCTGCTCGGTGTCACCGGGATTGATCCCGGACACACTCACAATCAACCCAGATGGCAACACACGCAGATGCCTGTGATTCCGTAGCCAGATGGGCGTTCGGAGGTACGTTGCCAGCCATCTGTCTCGTCACGCTGAGCGCGGATCAAGGCCAATCCTCCCCTCTTTTCTTCTTACCTCCATGACTGAGCCTTCGACCAAGCAGCGGAAGGAGCGCTGCTCGTGGCGGGACGCCGATGACGCGACACTCATCAATACCCTCCGCACGAACAAGGCTGCCTTTCAGACAGACAGCGGCTGGAAACCACAGGTGTGGCCAATCTGCGCAGCGGCCCCTCGCCGCATCTCCTGGCGCCACGAAGACAGCCGCCAAGTGCCAAGACCACTACGGGGGCTCAAGGCACTGTTCAACGGCTTCGAAAGCTGCGCGCGGCGGTCGGGATTCGGGTGGGACGATGGTCTCAAGACTGTTACGGCGACGGATGATGTGTGGACGGATTATATCGTGAATAAGGTGCGTGGCTGTTTCTTCAGCCTTGTGTGTACGCTAATTCCTTTCTAGAAAAATGCCTGGGCCACAAAATGGCAAAAAAACCATCCCCCTCTACACGACGACATCATGTTCCTTGTCGATGGCATCGTAGCCACCGGCGAAGGCGCGTTTCATGCAGGCACCACCCCAACTCCATCGACAAATGACCCCGTCATCCCTAGCACCAGTACAGGCACCGATGCAGGTTCAAACAACCCATCTGCGCCCGGCACACCATCCTCCCCTCCCAAACAGTTCCACATACACCCGCCGCCTATTCGCATGCCTGCCTACAACGACGCCACCCCATCCTCTCCATTTACCGAGCCAGCATCAAGCCGCAAGCGAGCAGCTTCGTCATCACCGCAGAAGCCTGGCCGAAAGTCGCGAGCGCGCAATGCTGATGCCACAAATAGCATGGCTTCTGCCATGCTCGAGATTGCAGGAGCTCTGAAGGTGAAGGGGAGCCCCGAGATCTTGGCTAGGGCTGTGCAGGTGATGGAGGAGGATGACGAGTTGTCGGATAATGAGAGTGTCGAGGCAATGAAGCTGTTCATGAACAATTCAAAGGCTGCGCAGCTGTACATTGCACCGAAAACAAAGGCCCTACGTACTAAATTTGTCCAAGGCCTTATTGAGAGTACATTGTTCGCACCGTAGAGTACTTGTGTTGTCAATATAGCACTATCTATTCCTCGGGAGCGACCTCTTGAATTTGGATACCTTTTGTAAGCATATATGCCTTGTAATCTGCCCACATATTCTGCGCAATCGCGTCACGCCGGGCTGATGCTCGAGCACGTTCCTCTGGGCTGATTGACCACCCTAGCTCCTCAGCTGAAATAGGCTCTGCTGGATTAGCGATAAGATCTTGCAAGGAGCTTTCTCGCCGTGTCGGGGTGGTGATGGATGAGATACTTGGGGTTTCATTGGTGTCGTTGGGCTCCAAACCATCATCTTCACCATCGTAGACCCGAATAAAATTATGAAGTGCACAGATGGCTGAGATTAGTTGAGCCTGTGTCTCGACCGAGTACTCTGGAGCACCACCCGTAAAGATATTCCAGCGACGTTTGAGAATACCAAATATCCGCTCGACTGCGTTCGAAGCTGAGCATGACGTAGATTGAATAGCTCCTTGTAGTTCCGAGGGCGCTGGTTGACATTGCCCCATTCCTTGAGGTGGTATCGGATATTCCGGTATGGGGTCATCAAAACGTCGCAGAGCGGAAACCCAGCATCTGCAAGGTAGAACTTGCCCAGTGGAACAGCAAAATCATGCTCGCGCGCATAATTGAAGATGTGCGAGTCTGATGCACTCCCTTCCCAGCCTGTAAGCACATAGACAAAAATCAGAGCAAAATTGCAGGCTGCCAGAATATTCTGCCCGATAAACCCCTTGCGATTACGATACCGTGGCATTGCGGTAGCAGGTACCCAGGCAGAGAAGTGCGAGCCTGTAAGGGCAACCCCGGAGGCCTGAGATCAAGGTCCTAGCAGGGGAGGATCCGAAGAGTGAATAGAAGTAAGCAAATACAAGTGAGGCTGACCTAGCAGGGGAGGATCCGAAGAGAAGAAACTCTAAGGGTCCGCCTGCTAGGTAGCGGAACTATATACTGCGCTCTTGACGCGCCAAGGTTGATCGTTGCTCCGTGCAGTATGCCTGCGCCATGTCGCAGGCCAGGTCCCAGGGGGATCGCCAGGGGGGGGCGGCGATGCGCCTGACGGAGGCGGTGATGCGATCACCGGAGTCGGAACCGGAGTCGGACCGGAATCGGGATCGTCTCCGAGGGGCCGAAAGGGAGGTTCCCCTGACATCACCCCCCTTTGAATGCGGCGTCCCGACGCATAGACCGGAACGGAATCGAGTCGAAGGTTGCGGAGGCGATGTGCCGTGGTTTGCCAGGGTACTTACGGTAGAACTCCGCGATTTTGTCCGGGGCGAAGACGCGGTCGAAGCGGACCCACTGGTCGTGCGACGCGTCGTAGCCTTTCCATCTGACGGTAATTCAGCCGTTTATACCTCACCCTTGGTCCAAGATCTCCTCTACTTCCCACTCCGGGACTCCGTCCTCGAGGTCCGGAGGGGCTGGTCGTAGCCGGGGCGTCCGTCGAAGGGGTCGTCTTGGGCGAGCTCAAGCTTGACGACGGGGAAGACCGGGTGGAGCTTCGAGTAGCGCGGAGGGAGGTCGAGCTTGTAGGCACCTTTGCTGATCTCCGCGACTATCTTGAACGGACCGAGGCGGCGGTGGGAGAACTTCTCCGAGGGGCGAGTCGTCCTGATGTCAGAGGCATCCAGCCAAACACGGTCGCCAACCTTGAACTCCGGAGACGGAGTGCGTCTCCGGTCGTAGTAGCGCTTATACTCTTCCTTGGCCTTAGTGAGCGGCCTTGGCTTCGGCAACCCCAGTGGCAATTCGGTCGCGGAACTCGTTCACAGACTCCATAGCGGAACGGGCTCCGGGTTCAAAGCCCATGCGCGGAAGCCGTCCCGTGTCCGTCATGAAGGGGACTTGCTGCGTGGATGAGTGGACATGGTTGTTGTAAGCGAACTCCGCGGCCGGAATCAGCTCATCCCAGTCGTCCTGCTGATAGTTGGTGAAGATCCGCAGGTACTGCTCCAACTC